GGTCATAACATTTTTATATCGTAGGACTCCAGAAGAAAAGTTGGTAGAAGCACTGATTTAATCAACAATATAATATTTCTTCGACACTCTGTGTGTGTATGTGTGTGTGTGTGTGTGTGTGTGTGTGTGGGGTCATCCAAAGTCCAGCACTGCCCCCCCCCCACACACACACTGTGTGAGCCGTTGGTCGCTTAAGGTTGCCTACGGGTTCTTAGAGGTAATAAAACTGCCGTCGTACAGGAGGAAAGAGTTAAAATGTGACCAGCAATAAGCCTCGCACCAACACACACACACACACACACACACACACACACACACACACACACACTCTTTGCTGCTCCCCTGATGTGTTTTCCATGGCTGTGGAGGTGCACTTGATCTATGAGCTCCCCTCCATCGCTGCAGCATGAACCGGTGAGTGAGGTTTTTGACGTGTCTTAAGGAAACAACAGGACCGGATGTAAGTATTTTGTGTGCGACGAGGCTCATTTGTTACTGTGACTGAACAGTTGAACAAAGAGCATGAAAAAAGAATCACACAAACCGTAAAAGCTGAACTGTGGGACTCCGGGGAGGTGGAGACAGACACCGGGACGAAGGCCGAGGAAATGGGAGGAGGAGGAGGAGGAGGCAAAGGGAAGGAGATATATCTAAAGTACTGCATATGTCTCCACACGGGAACCAGCGCATTTCTGATTTCCTCCGGGTGGGTCACAGAGGGAGTGAGATAAAGAGGGAACGAGGAAGGAGGAGAAAGGAACCAATAGAAGTGGGGAACGAGGACAAAGTGGGAAAATAATCTGTGGAAAACGGCATCAAAAAGCTTCAAGACATTCGATACGGACGCCTCACAACGCTTGATCCGCTGGTCCCTCCGTCCACCTACAGCCTCAAGACGAGATAGCGAATGGCTGACTGGCGTGGGAGTGGGCTCGCGGCGGTCCTCAGGGTGTCCCTGGGAAAACAGCGTGTTTGGAGGAACGCGAAGGCCTCCAGACTAAAGCCCCCGGAGAGGACAAGGTCGTGATTCATTGTTTCCAGAGTCACAGAGACAGATGCCGATGACTCAAAGACTCTACATCAAGTTGTTTAAACAGCAAAGTAAAACCACACAGGCGACAGCACATAGGAATCTTCTTTAAGGCAAATGTATTTGAAGAATAAGATCGTTTTACTGGTTTGAGGGAAAGATTTCAAGCCAATTTATTTATTTTGGTGCCACTCCTTCGACGTCACCCACGTCCCTCTCGCCCGCTGTGACACCCCGTGGTGTCGTCCGCCTCTCTGGGTGGTTCGTCGTCTGTCTGCAGGTGATGGAGAGCGAGTGGAGACACCCGAGGGTGAATCACAGCCGGTAACCTTTTTCGTTGCTTTTCACTTTGCTTAAATAAGCCGCGAGGCCCAGAAGCCTCCACGGACACCGAAGACATCTTCTCATCCAGGAAAAAGACGGCGTTTCACATCGAGCAGCTTCTCGGACTCCCCACTTCCTTGACCTTTCCTCAATCGCCGTACCGATACAATATCCCAAACGTCACAGTCCGGCTTCTCTCATCACGTTTGACTTCCCTCACGAGCGAAATGTCAGATTGAGGTTATTTCATGTCCACTCTGCAAGTTTAAACACTCTCCAGACGAGGAGCATTTCTGTGAGTTTTAGTGACTTTAAGTCCATTGACTCTCATCCGGATCACACGGACCGACGCGGCCCGTCTTCGACGCAGCACACGTGTAACACAGCAACGCACAACCGTGTGCGTTCATCGGCGCTGTTTTGTGCGCTTTCCCGCGAAAGACCAGCAAAGGGTTAGTGTCAGCTGAAAGGGCTTTTCAAAATAAAGTTCACAGGAAACGACTTGTCGGGAAAAATTTGTTGTTTGGGTTAAAATAGCGTACGTGGCGTCATTTGAGTTCCTCGTCACTTCACGTCTCACACTAACAACAACAACAACAGAACTCCACCTCCTTTCTGCAGTGTGATCTGTGTCAGAGGAAATCTCTGAAAAGCAATCTTGTTAATTGTTGACTTCATTTCAGCAAGGATTCAGTGTTGCTTTGTTCAGACGTCTTGAATGTTTCAACCAGAGCAATAAAAGACGATTTTGTTCTTGTTTTTAACAATAAACATCCGGAGTTGAAGTAGTGACCTTTAAATGGTGAGGTCACACACGTTTCTGTGCGCTTGTGTGTGCTTGAGTGTGTGTGTGTGTGTGTGTGTGTGTGTATGTGTGTGTATGTGATGTTTAACGGTACGGTCTGATGCTTTAATTCAGTTAGGACTGAGCTGAGAGGAAACACTGAGTCCTTTTGTGCTGCAGACAGAGAGCTGCCTCTGAGCAGCCACATCGCTCGCTAATGTTTACTCCAACTTCAGCAAAACTACGGAAACAACATGAAGCAGCTTTTCTTTATTCATTGCGTTTCTTAGATGCAATTTATTTGACACAAAAGTACTGTTTTTTTTCTTTTTGATCATTCTTTTTGCAGTAAAAACTACTTTTAACTTGAGTTAAAAGAGCTCTGGATAAACCACCCATTGGCCAAAGAATGCCCATGATACATATGTGACCGTACGGAGACAAACCACAATTACATGCTGCTTTCATGCAGAGGGGAAAAACAAATGTTCCTACAGCTAAAGGGCACGAGCGGATGGGGCGGAGGAAGAAGCTAACGACCTCCATCCGTCTCCAAAGACCGGCGACAGGCCAGAACAAGACGTGGATTAAAACAGAACAAACTCCATCTTAGTGATGTAACCTTCCCTCCTCCTGTTGTTTCATCTCCCACGGCAGCAAATACACCTTTAAAAAAACAACGTGCCATTTAAGTAAAAGAGGGACGCGGGGGGACGGGGGGACACGTATGCAGGTGTTTTGAGCGGTGAGATCGTGGGGGGGGAACGACAGCGGATCGCACTGCGCGTTGGCTCAGCTCTCTGCAGGGAGTCCACTGCAAACGGGATCTTCAAAGGGGGAGCGACAAGAGAGGCGTCTTAGCCCAGCTTACGGATATCAAAAGGCTTAGGCGAGCCTCACCCAGCGGGATAATGGAATATGGAATATCGCGAGCCGCACAAGACAGTCGCGACGAAAGCGGCGGAGCTTCACATCGTCCAGGCTGAAGTGAGTGAGAATCTGGCACGCGGACCGGCAGCCGACGCATCCAAGGTCAGGAAGATAGCGGGCCGGAAGGAGCGTGGAGGGACCGAGGTGGAGGGTTTCAGAGGCGGAGGAGCAGTTCATTAGATGGATCGCTCTGCTCCTCTTTGTGCAGAAACTAACCCTGATCTGCAATGGGGAGCCAGCCGAGGATCTCCCTGCAGAGTGCACGCTTAGCATGAAACGTCTGGAGGCCCGACAGGATTATCACAATGTTAAAAGCTCAAAAAGGGCCTGAGAATGAACGGATGTGTGCGTGTGTGTGTGTGTGTAGCGTAGCATAGTGAGATAATGTCCTCCAGCGCAGCTACTGTCCTCGCCTTCACACCACCGGGGAAAAAAGGTTCAGCCCTTTGCGCCATTCCAGACGTTTCCCCGACATAAACAACCTGTCAGGTGTCGGCCAGGAACTCGACCAAAGCTACACACGTGACACATGGCGAGGAGGAAGTCACCGGGTTCTTCCCCTGCGTGTTTCATTCGCCTGCTGAGAGACCGAGTTCCACTGTGGTTTTACTGGTATGAAGTCAACAGCCTTGAGGAGCTCTTCATTGATACGGAAACAGCTTGTAGTAAAATGCCCTTTGCTCTCACACCTCTTGCTCAATCGGCCTTGGTTTTTTGGGGATATTGTGTAACAAAAAGTCGCTGCAATCACGTAAAAAAACTAAAGCAAAACAGGAACTGAGCCTCATTTCCACAGATGTGTATTCCGTGCCGCCGTGCGGGTGCTCATGCGCGACGGCATCGGCCAGAATGCAGGAATGCATTCACACCCCGACTCTCTGAATAAACTCCCTGGGAATGAGGCGGTGAATTTGGGGGAAACAGACGACGATGATCGCACGCGCCCGCGCATACACATCGGCGCACCCTCAATAAGGAAACCAGTTTTGGGATGCGGTTGGTACAGAGAGCACGGAGGCCTATTTTTTAAAAAAGCCATTAAAAAAGGATCAAGAATGGATTCCAACCTGTTGTTTCCAGCTAACGTCCGGTCCACAACCGACACCGTCCACCGATCTGTTCGCCCGAAACATAGAACCATGAAGAACGTGGTGTTGTAACAGGAGAAATATTTAATGCGGCTTTCCAAAGAAAGAACACCATCGTGTGTGAATATTAGCAGTTATTATTTGTTTGTCACAGCTAATAAAAGACCTGCAGGGCTCCGGCGTCCATTGACCACAGCCGCAGAACAAGCTGCAAACTCCTGTTACCTCATCACCTTGATGAACACGTAACTTCAACAAACACCCAACTCTTTGAGTTCACTTTTTCATCAATAAGAGTGATCGAGGAGACAGAGGCAGGGCGGAGTGATGGTGACTAAAAATAGTCTCGGGTGCGGAGAGAGAATAAGAGCTGAAAGAAACAGAAGACGCCAATAGGAGCTTTGCAAAAGACCAAATCTCTGTGTGAATTATCTGACGATCTGTGTTGAACCAGCTTTTTTTTTACTTGCTTCAGGAGACAACGATCAGCATAAACTGTTACGACTCACAGAATGTGTGAGCGTTGAGATGCGCGGGACAATAAAAAATAAAAGTTACTGTTACTGAGAAACAAATAAACAGTTCAAACACATAAAAAAAAGACACGCTTTTGCCCCAGAAACCCTCTTATGCACTTATTGCACAATAAGCAGGAAGCCTGGAAGCTGACTGAGGTGCAGTCAGCATGGGAATAGAGTCACTCTGCACCTAAACAGCTCACTGTGGAAACCAACTCACAAGCACATGACCACACACACATGCACGCACAACTACACAGCGCAGCGTACTACTCTCCTCAAAAGGAGTCCATCCGACAGCAGAGGAGAATGTGATATCCACCTACCGGCTCTCCCTTTCTCCCTCCGTCCAAACGGCCACAGGCTCTTAGTCCTTTCCTTGTTGGGGCTCCATTTGCTCTCCGTCCGGACCTTCTTCTTCTTCTTCTGGACGCTGTTCCCCATGTTTTTTTCGGGGGGGGGGGGGGGGGACAGACCTGCAGCCCCTAAAGGGGGTCCACCATCCCGTCGTCCTGCAGCATCACATGTCTGTATTCCTTCTCTCTGAGGAAACGCTCCCTGAATGCAAGTCAATAACTCACTACCGAACCCGATGATTCAGTCTCACACACACAGTGTAGTGACGGTGTGCTAAAGACACGCTGACACCATTCCTACAAAACAAACAGCACACACACACACACACACACACACACACACACACACAGATCCAGCAGGCTAAAACACACCACCAGTCCTATTCTTCGTGCTGACACACTTCCAGTCCCGCACATCCAGCTGCCGAAGCAACGGCAGCATCCGATACTGACGAGCTCACCACTAGCGTGTGTGTGTGTGTGTGTGTGTGTGTGTTCATGTGTGTGAGAGTGCCCCTCCCACTCTCTCAGCTCCCGAGCTGAGCGATCCCACCACGGAGCCTTTTCCCATAAGTGTGTGTTTGAAACACACACTTATCTTCCCAACAAGTGATTGACACCTTTTCTTCTCTCATGTGACCCTCAACCCTAAAAAAAACATTTTTAGAAAGCTTGACAGATTCTGTCAACGCAACGTGGTGATGGAGACGACAGAGATTCCTCACACACACACACACACACACACACACACACATAGAAAGCGTCTGAGTGACAGAATGAGAGTATAAACACCGACATAAAAGCAGCAGAGGGAGGCTCCACAACTCAGGGGATCTTCAGGTGTGTTTCCTCTATGCTGAGAGGAAAAATACAGATGCTGAGCCAGATGCAGACACAGGAATGATGGGGGATTTCAGGCAATGTAACTTTAAATTTACCAGAGCGCTGTTATAACTCGTGATGATCCAAATATAGAGCAAAAAAAAAAAAAGCCTCAATGTTTACAGCAAGTCGTCATCTTCCTCACTCCTAAAGGTGAATGACCACCATCAGCATCCAACAGGCTGCTCGCATCACAAGAACGTGAGCTTCCATGTTGGAACAAAATGGAGGGAAGTGGAAGGGAGAGTGGTGAAGATGAAGATGAAGAGGTAGTCTACGAGATTGTGTTTCCACCCTCCACCCTCCGCTCGGAGGTATATATTAGAAGGCTTCGATAAAAAGCAGATTTACTGTCCGGGGCAGAGTTACGAGGAAGAGGAGGTGCGCTGGACTACTGAGAACTGAGACGAATCGATGTGGGTGTGAGAAGAGCAGGAGGAGCTTCAGGCAACTAGAGAATATGAAGAAGAACGCGATGTGGATAAACGTATCAGCACGAGAGAGAGAGAGAGAGAGAGAGATGAAAGACGAGCGGACGATAGCTCTTCAGCTTCACAACGTAAAATGATCTGCAATAAAAGCACTCAGAGAGAGAGAGAGATGCTGCCTCTTCATGCATCTGCATCAGAACCCCACCCAGTACCTTTGTGCTGGTGGAGAACTCCCATCCCAACTGTCACAGAGTGCCTGTGTGTGTGTATACATGGCGTGTGCGTGTGTGCGTGTTCCCCTACCAGCTGCAGCACAACGTGCCGAACATGGCCTAGATACATTTAAATAGGAGTGTGATCAAAGTGTGTGAGTGTGTGTGATTGTCAGGAGTGATTTAAGTGTTCGGCTGCACGTACACACGCACACGCACGCTACATTAAAGGGAAGTTGCTTTGAGGAATGCCGTTGTCGGGGAATGGTGGTCAGGGGAAGGTGGTTGTCAGGGTGACGGTTGCCAGGGCCTCAACGCAGGTTCAACGTATCTACCTGCGCCTGCGTGTTTCTGCGTACTTTCCCTCGAGTTCGGACCTTTGCATTTAAAAGTCACAAAACCCCCCAAAAGACCCGTTAGAATATTCGTTCTTTGTCATTTCCCGCGGTTCTTCGGCACAGCACTCCCATCTTGTGGCCCGGGAACGATATGACAATACAAGAACCCCCCGAGGGCGCAAAGCAACCTAAGCGCTCAGTCACTCTGTTTGTGTCCCAGGTGTGTCCCAGGTGTGTTCCAGGTGTTGGATCTCCAAATACAGACGGCTCTGTGAACTGCAGCTGGTTTGCTGGTGAAGTTCACGCTGCCCTAAATGTCACCGCGTCAGAAAAGAGAGATTGTCGTTTCTAACCCATTTTATACTTCTGATCTATAAACTGATTTATTAGAGGATATCACATGACACCGATGTCTGAAGTTAATTGCCGTGTTTTCATCCACATCAATTCAACCCAAATACACAACGCTGCTGAGGAGAATCTGCTGCTTGCTGAATATGTGAATACGTTTGGGAGGCCGAATTGTCGCTTGGCATCGCAGCTTGAAGCGGAAACATATTAGCGATGAGCTAAAGTCTTGTCGTCAGTGTTGCATGAGGATGGACCCGGAGCATCAGACGCAGAATCTCTCTACTGAAGATCCACTGGATTCCTGAGGCCCCTTGTCATCATCTGGTCTGTTATTCCCTTCACAGATAGAATAAAACCTGCGTCTATTACGAGACGTTAGGTAACAGGAGCCACACACACACACACACACCGTCTTAAGGGTAATACGTTGTATATCCCGCTGTATACAGACTCCCTCTCCCCCCCGTCCCACGCTGATGTTTCCCAGCTGCTCCTGCGCCACATCAAACCCTCGTCCCATGAAGCAAGCCATTAGTTCTTATGACATAAACAATACCTCTGGAGCCGCTCCAGTGACGCCCGTCCTGCGCACGTGAGGGTCCACGTGCGTCCCGAGAAGGTTTCGTGAGGTCGTTGCCCCGGGAGACGTGTGCTTCACCCCCTCCGTGGCTTCGGCGCCCTCGGTGACGGATGTGGCCCGGAAGGTATCCGCTTACTCAGGTAAAGTTTCCTCTCTTATCCAAGCGTGTGTGTGTGTGTGTGTGGTGGAGGCATTAAACTTTTACACCCCTCCCTCTCCGCCGCTTGCTTTCCCTTCGCCCTCCGCCCGCTGCCTCCATCCTGTATCAAAGCCCCCCTCCGGGCTGCGGCCTGTAATGAAGCTGGAGCCCGTATATATATACAACGTTCTCTGCGTAATGAGACGCTTGCTCTCCAACCACGTCTGTAATCTGCACTACAGTTTGTGTATCTACACACCCTGACTGTGTTTTGTGATGTGGCAGCCACACACACACACACACACACACGCACACAAACAAAACACACGCGTGGAGAGAAAGAAACGAGTGGGATCTCTACGGGGAACAATGACTACACACAAAGTGCAGGATGACCTCACCGCGGACGCGCCGGACAAAGCAGGTAGTCGTGGGGTCGCTCTGCATCCTTATGCGTGTGTGTCGATGTGCGTGTGTCGGTGTGCGTGCGTTGAGGTGATGTAATGAGCGCCGGCGCCGCCCTAAGCCGAGCAATATGCTGCTGACACACTAACACAGAGATACCCTCTGATACGGGGTAGCACTCGGTCACACACCCTGGCTCAGCACGCACACACACACACACACACACACGTTTCAACACACACTGATTACACAATAACAAGCAGTGGAGACCTACAAACCCGCGGAATGGAGGGTTTGAAGAACAGTAGTATGCAGTAATGAATAGGCAAAGAGACGGAATAATTGGGGAGAAATAGAAATGTGTGCGTGCGTTAAGTTTTAATTAAAATAAGCATTGAGCGAGTTCTCCCTGAGAGTCGTCTTGAGCCTGAATGGGGCTTTGTGATTTGTTGTAATCTCTCCTCTTCATCGCATAACTCTGGTCCCGATCTGGCATCCCGGGTGCCACACACACACACACACACACACACACACACACACACTCGGCACACTGATCCACGGCTCTCGGGAACTCAGCACATCAAAGAGCTTCTTTTATATATGAGGAGTCTCTGTAAAATACAGCTGGGAGTCAGGACGAGCAGATCTGAGCAGAGATGACGCGGCCAGCGTGAACGCCGAGACAAAGACGCATCGAGGAGGAACAAGGAAGAAAGAGGAAAGAGGTTTTCTTTCACTGCTGTGTCATCATTTCAAGCATGGCGTCAAATCTCCGTTCACTTCTGCAAAAACAAATCTTTCCTTCGCAGCTTGTCAGCCTTTTGCCTGCGTCCCGTGTTGTTCATTTAATATCCCCAATACGATGCTCGAGAATCACCATGCCTTTGTACCGCGGAGGGTGAGGCTTAATAAGCGAGACTACGACCGGTTATCATGTGAGCGTGTACGTGCCGCATTTTGAAAGCATTTGGCCTCTCGCCAATGGGGAAGTTCCTTCAGCTCGCATTCTCTCTAACGGCCATCGGGGGGCGACTCCACCGCTCACAGCGTAAACGTGACTTTCTTCTTCCGTACAATCGCACAGTGTACTTCAGACAGACTCCGCATATCCAAATATCAACACTTTCTTTCAGTTCTTGTAAAAAAAAAACGAGATGGCAACATCTACATATTGAAAATGTGTGTGATTGTGTAGCAACGCATGTGGGTCTGTGAACAAACAGCACATCACCTGAGAGAATTCTTTCGAAAGATTCTTGCTTTGTCTTGTCAGCTTGAAAAAGTCGCCAAGCGGGTTACGGTTTCAGAATGTGTGAGTGAGTGTGTGCGTGTGTGCGTGTGTGTGTGTGTGTGTGTGTGTGTGTGTGTGTGTGTGTGTGTGTGTGTGACTGTGCCGCGGTCCGTTAGCAAAGAGAAAAAAATAGATGCAATCACCATTTATTTACCGGTTGGAAAACAGGCTTCATTCACTTTCTCTGTAAGATGCAAAAAGCCAAACAGATTGATAAAAATCCAAATAAATTTGTTCACACACACACACACCTACACGTGCACACAAGCACGGGGACACACACGGAGACAGAAAGACAAAGCCGTTCTTGCGTGTGATGCTTTCTGTCATACAGCGACAAACCCATTGTGCATGTTGACAGCAAGTTATTCACTTTGACAAGATCCAGTCAGGGATCACGGAAAAGAATACGAACAAAACACTTTCCTCGTCCTGCTCCTCTCAATTCACACGTTTTCTCTCCTAAATAAAACTGTAAACCAGCAGTCTTCAGCTCCCACAGCTGCTCCAGGAGAGTCAGTGAGCAAAGTAAAACAATACACCAGCTATCGCCGTCCTCTTCGGTCTGAAAAACAGAAAATCACTGAGACGGAAACATGGTTCCCACGGAGTTTCAGCCTTCCGACCACGTCCCCCTGCTGGGGAATTATTAGCCGTACTTCTAGTTAATCTTTGGTTCCAAACAGAGACGCTGACTGTTGCCCATCCGGTGCTCACGGACCCCAACGGAATCACAAAGTGCGGCACAAAGAGGCATCGTGAGGTTCTAAAAAAAACCTTAAGAGACCAAACAAGGTCTGACCCACCGTGAATCTGGACTTGTTGGATAGTAACTACAGTAACACACACACACACACACAATGGCAGAAGACAGGGAGATGGCTTTGGAGGTGGAACAAAAACAGGAAATGGGGATTGTGGGTAATCTTTGTACAATCGCATCAGTAAACAAAAAAGGGGGATTAGACCATGTGTCGACCTGAGTGTGTGTGAGCGTCACTCCGTGATTTATAAATGTGCAGACTGATGTCCTTACGATAACGGAATCCATCTTAATCTGAAAGTCAACACGTTTCCCTGAAACATCCCGACCGCACACTCTGTGATCGG